CAAACTTTTCCCATTTTTACTAATTAAACTAACCTAATAAAATCTCAAGAACTGACTGAACCGAAGAATATTGTCGTACTTGATGTACCAAGGTATTGGTAAATTCCAGAAAAACGCATCAAGAAGTTGTTCAAGCTTATGCATTGCAAGTGTAACTATTTTGGATGAAAGTATGGTGTATAAAATTGTTTAAGTGCGTTGCTATGGCGTTGCTAAGGAAATTACTTAAGAGGTGGTTAACTTAAATAGACAATTTAAGATAGTTAAAGATTATTCTGATACATCCAAAACGAATTTTATGATTCTGCATAGTTTGAAAGAGTTAAAATTAAAAAAAAAAAAAATTGAAAATTTTGAAATTTTTATGGGGGGATAGCCCCTTAAAAAAAGACAATTTTAAAATGTTAAGAAACAAAATTAAAAAGAAAAAAAAAAAAAAAAAGTAGTAAAATAATTAAAAAAAAAAAAAAAAAAAAAAAAAAAAAAAAGAAATGATTAAAATATAGTAATAAAAATGACAAAAATTTTCTGTTTTTGGTTATAAATTGGATGTGATTCGATATATATATTTGTATATATTATTTTCTTTCAAAATAATTCAAAATTCAAATAAAAATTCTGTTCTAATATTTTTGAGGTTGTATTTATTAATAGTATTTATGTATTATGCAATATAATTTGAGGTTGCTTTTAAGTCATTAAAACGAAATAAAGCTACTGGGTATGATGATATTAACACAAATATTGTGATTGATTCATACGATGTTATAAAAGATGTTCTTTATAAAATCTTCAGAGCATCCATTTCACAAGGGTCTTTTCCAGATAAACTAAAAATAGCGAAAGTAACTCCAATCTTCAAGACAGGAAATCGTACAAATATAACAAATTATCGCCCTATTTCAGTTCTTTCAGTTTTTTTAAAAATTTTAGAAAGAATAATGTACAACCGAATTTACTCTTATCTTGTTGACAGTGGCGGATTTAGTATAGGGCGTGGGGGGGGCGAGCTGCCCCCACACACCCCTACAACGGTCTAACGGCGCCCCCTAAAACAATTAAAATATATATATATATATAAGATTAAATTTCTGAAGGCAACCCCGGTCGCCCCTATTTATTGACTTGGCCCCCCCCCCGCGACACTAAACCTCGATCCGCCACTGCTTGTTGAAAATAAAATTCTATACGAAAACCAATTTGGTTTCAAAAAAAAATAATTCAACCGAGCATGCCATTCTTTAACTTACGCGCAATATAACCGACTCATTTAAAGATTCTTGTTTTACACTAGGAGTGTTTATTGATTTGTCCAAGGCATTTGATACCGTCAATCATCAAATCCTGTTAAAAAAACTAATATCATATGGTATTAAAGATAAAACCCTATTATGATTTGAAAGTTATCTTACTAACCGTAAACAGTTTGTTTACAATAAAGATTCTATATCTCATTTATTAATGAATATAACATGTGGTGTTCCACAAGGATCCATACTTGGTCCTCTTATCTTTTTAATATACATAAATGATCTTCATAAATCATCAAATTTAACAACAATAAATTTTTCAGATGACACAAATTTGTTTTTGTCTCATAAAGATATTAATATGCTTTTTACAAATATGACAAATGAATTAAAAAAAGTTTCTGTTTGGTTTAAACAAAATAGATTGTCTCTATATATAGAAAAAACTAAATGGACACTTTTTTATCCACCTTTAAAATACCAGAAACTGCCCCATATCATGCCAGACCTTCTAATTGATAATATAATAATAAAAAGAGAAAAAGTTACTAGATTTCTTGGAGTATGTATTGATGAAAACCTATCTTGGAGAAATCATATTGATAATACCTCCAATAAAATTGCTAAATGCATCGGAATTCTCTATAAAGCAAAAAATATATTAAGTAAACACCAGTTAACACAATTATATTATTCATTTATTCATTGTCATTAAAACTACGCGAATATTATATGGGGAAGCATTCACAGAACAAAGCTAAAATCTCTTTACCTTCATCAGAAACACGCAACTCGCGTAATAAATTTTAAAAATCGGTTTTTTCACACGAAACAACTTTTTAAAGAAATGAATATTTTAAATGTATATCAACTAAATGTCTTTAATATTTTATGTTTCATGTTTAAATGTAGAGAAAATTTGTATCACAAAAATTTTTATTGTATGAAACCTAAAAACAAATATAATTTTCAAATTAATAACAGTCTTATTGCCTCTTTTTGTCGTAAAAGCAAAGACCAGTTTTTTGTTTCTTACCGAGGTCCTTATCTCTGGAACAAAATAGTCTTACCAAATTTTGATTTTTCAACCCAACTGACTTTTGCTTCATTCAAACAGAAACTTAAAAAAATTATATTTTTAATTGAAAATATCTTGATTTATTTTTAATTGCCTTTTTTTTGTTTTGTTTTTGTTGTTGTTTTATTTTGTATATTATTTGGTTTAAAATTTTATCTTGGCTTTTTAACATTTTATCTAAATATTTTTGCATAGAGGTGTATTATTATTTCACTACAGACATTGTATTTTTATTAAAAGTTAACCATATATTGTAAAAGGCTTCATGACAAGATCCTCATGATCTTCTAGAAGTCCTGTCGTTACTAATGTAAAAAAATGTAAAATATATTTAGTTATTGTAATATTAAACGGCAAAAATAAAAAAAATAATAAATAATAAAAAATAATAAAATATTATAAAATATGTTAAGAAAATTGTAGGTAACTTTAAGAGAATATATATTTTCAATGAAAGTATGATAAAGACATTGAAATTCTTAGTATTTTTAAATGGTCTAGATTTTTAAATTTATGGTGCTAATTTAGTTTAATAAATTTTAAAACTTTAAAAGTGACATAGAAGGTCTGCTATATTAAAATTCCGTAAGTACTAAATAACGTCTTAATTTAGATTTGAATTGCGGAAATGTTTTTTCTTTAATATTAACAATATGCTGAAAGTTTTTCCACAAAATTGGACCCCGGTACTGAATAGAATAAGAACATAACTTTAGATTATACTTTTGAGTTACAAAGTTATTTTCTGAGAACTTGGTGGGGGTATTTATGGCTTACTTTTCTAAAATAAGGATAGAATATCTTCTTGGAGCAACTTCATAGCTAAAAAAAAAATAATAATAATAAAAGTTTTTTGCAAGATATATGAGATATATACTTCAAATATAAGTTAAATTTTTTTTTTTTTTTGCAGGATACTTTAGTTTTATCAAGGTTTATTTTAAACTTCACGATAACGGTTTTAAGAGACATGTCAGCTTCAGAATCAGTAATACCATCTGCATATTGTATTGTGCTTGTACTTTTCTGATAGTTTATACAAACTGCGAGATTTCATGTCCAGCGGGTACAGAACGTTGGTTGGACGTCTTAAAAACATCGCTTGGACTTCTGACGTCTACAAGACGTTGAATAGACAACTTACGGACGTTTGTGCCCGCTGAATTAAAATTATTAAAATTAAAATTAATTAAGTTCATGTAATTAATGTAAATTCAGAAAGATGTTTATCACAGATAAATTCTGATAGTCTTTAATCTACTGAAACCTCTCTCAACTCTTAACTCATAAAAGCATATTGGAATTGCCATACAATGTTGAAATCAGCTAATTTATCTTTTTTTTTTTATGTCATTTACCGTTTGCAAAGTTATTGTAGTTTTGTGAACATCTGTCACTGAACAGTCACAGTAGTTTTGATAGACCGAACTATGTTCAAAATCCATTAACTGTGTACATTATGAATATAAGAGATACTTTCTTAAAACAAAACGTCTCCGGTTTTTTTTGCTGTCATAAATGCGTGCAATTATGTAAAGCAGGTATGTAAACGAAGGTTTTTTATTGCCTAGTTTCTATTTTTGTTTAAAATAAACGCAAAATTTGTAGGGACGCGCGGGGGTGGGGGTGGGGGAACGTTCGCCCCCCTCAAATTGAGGGAGGTGTAAACTTTATAAGGTAATAAAAGCCGATCAACAAAAGATTATTGAATCAAATTTGAAATTCGTCGATGAATATAAATTAAGTTTAAAATTAAAAAAAAGTTACAAATATACCTAACTGCCCTCCTGTTTGGGGCTGAGGAGGTTAACGTTTTGGGGTTTTTGTTGTTTCCAGTCTCCAATCACCGCAATTTTTTGCATAGCATCCTCATTCGTTATATTTATGAACATACTTAAATATTGAATTTTGTTTCAAAGTTGCTTCCCAACGGGCATTTGTTGGTTTAAAATTGGTTTAGATGGCATTTACGTCGATCTAAATGTTTAGGAATCTGTTCTAAACGTGTTCTGAATATTTAATTTGCGATCAAACATCAAACAATTTCCATACGGAACTAACTTAATTCACACTTAATGTGTCGGACATTTTGAATCTTTCATTATGATTAAAAATTAGAATTTCTTATGAATCTTAAATTATGTAATAAATAGTTTAGAAGAGAAAAAATAAATTTGTTTTTTAGTATTATAATGTGGTTAATGAAGCAGCTAAAAAGTCCTGTAAGTTTTTCGATAATATTGTATAAGCGATTAAAAGTAATTTTAAGTACAGTATTACTGTACTTAAAATTACTTTTAATCGCTTATACAATATTATTGTTACTGTCAGTAACATCAGTCATTGACACAGTAACATCAGTCATAGTCATTGTTACTGTCAGTAACAATGTATTTTGATAATTCTTTATTTAGTTATTGCTACTAAAATAGCAGTTTCAAAAAATTAGCAGTAATTTCAAAAAAGTATCAGTTTCAGCATTTTTTTTTATATTTCTTAAATTGTTTTTTCTGTTTGGTTTTTAACAACGCTATAGAACGTCTATAGTTAACTCTTAGCTTCCTAATTTTTCTACTTTTATTAAAAGTAGAAAAATTATGAAAAATAGTTACCACTTAAAATGCATAAATTTTCTCTAAAAGTTTTAGAGAAAAATTATGCATTTTAAGTGGTTACTACTTTTAAATAACTAAATAAAATTATTATTGTTTGTTTATATTAAGACCTAACATCTATTTGTTTATGATAGATGTTATATTGATCGAATCGCAATGTTATAATATTTATACTTTTAGTGCAGTCAGTGCCAATCAAAAAATATGAGGTTCAAATATTTATATAATGGATCTTCAGTTTTAGTGTAGGCTTTTAGTGTAAACTAAAAAATATTTTTAAAAGTTTAAGTATTATTCATACTCCTATATGATAACCACTAAAGAGAAAATAAATTTACTTACCTCTGATATGATAGATTATTATATTGTATCATTTATTTTCTCTTTAGTAGAAAAGTTAACGTGGTTCGAACAATAATATAGTTATATTACATAGTTATATTATATTTCTAAAATCTGCGCAAACATTTTTTTTATTGTTTATTAAGTTTTGCATGTTTAATTTCATTTAATATTTTATCTACAGTCCAGTCAGTTGCAACAATAATTAAAGCAACAGGAAACAGCCAAGTACACATGCAAGTGGTAAATTGATTTTTTGTGACATGTTTACTCCTTTAAAATTTAGATTATCCTAAAATAATAATTAAGTTAATGGCTATTTCTGTAAAGATCATTCTGTAAATAAAAACTGCAGTGTTTTTAAAACTTATAGTTATTTTTTTAGTAATCACAAGATAAACTGCATACTCTGTACTTTTAAATATGATTCTAAAATCTGAACATTTGTCAGATATTTACCTTTTAAATCATAATCTAATTGCTCAGGCTTATGAAAAGCTATTTATAAAAATTCAACGCTTAAAAAATAATGTAATATTAAAGGTAATTCCTGTTATTTTTGAAAGGTACATTGATGATTGGTTTGAGTCTTTAAAGTTTAAATTAGTTAAAAGAGAGTTCAACTTGTTCTGTTTTTATCTTATGCTCTTTATCTAAAAGCTATTGAAATGTTTATTGCATTATTTTTCATTTATTTTATCATGTTATGAAAGACCTACCAAGCTTGAAGTTTTACAGGTCGAAATATATAGTATGTATATGTACTAAATATATAGTATATTATCCCTCGGAATTAGGAAAACTAAAGTAAGCAAAAAAAGGTAAAAAAACTAGACGACTAAACTTATTTAAAACACTTTTAACAAGTTTAGTTACAAGTTAATGTTATGTGTTGATGTACCTTCAACCAAATTAGTGTTAACATTTTAGCAAAATGTCATATCGTCAGGCTGTTTGATTGGAAGTACCAAAAGCTTGATATTTTATTGAATTGTTATTTTAGTTTGTGATATAATAATTTTTATTCAAAAAATGTTAAATATTTTACTTTTAAAATTTATTTTTCATTGCTTTGGATAAGATGTTTTGTTATTCCTTTTACAGATTGTTATGAGGATTGCAAAAGTTTTAAATATCAGAAACTGAAGAAGGTATTGATAATCAGCAGATAATAAAAAAAGCAAAAGTACTGATTATTCAAATCTTTTAAAGGTTTCATTTTAATTTATTAATGTTTATATAGAAACTAATAATATATAAACTGAAAATAATAACATATAATTAATCCATAATTGTGCGTTACTCAATCTAAATTAGTTTTTATTGGAGTTAATATTACTAGTTTAATGCAATTACAGTAGAAATGGTTAATTATGGAAAAATTGCACTAAAAATTGAATAAATCGCTTGTTAAAGCAAATAATATTATATATATATATATATATATATATATATATATATATATATATATATATATATATATATATATATATATATATATATTATAAATTTAAAAATAATAGTTTTATTTAGTTTGTTCTAATTTTTATGTAAAAAAAAAAAAGAAGCAAGTTTTAATTAGTAAATGATTAATCATTTTTACGGTAAAGTAAAAAAATTTGAGAAGAATTTTAGTTTAATGCTAATGCAAAAGGTACGAATATTGATAGGTTAGCTAATTTAATGTTACAATAAACATGAAATAGAGTTTGTGAAGACCTTAGTGCTAGAAATACTTGCATGCATTAAGTTAAGATTATGCAAGTAAGTTGTCCTATTTTTATCTTTGAAGAATAATAATAGTTGTAATGAACATATCTCAGACAATATACACTTGGATTTACATTTTAGTTAAACCATCACCACTTCCACAGCCACCTTGTCTCAAGCATTCAATCACATTCTAAGATATCTTTATTGAAATTAAGTGTGACTACTTTACCAAAAGACTCTAGAATGGACCAATCAAGTAAGATGTCTAAATTTTTATCTTTTATATAAAACTCTTTTACTTTTAGATAAACCTGTTAATTTTATGACTGATAAACATATTTAGCAATGTAATCCTTTTAGGATAGACTTTTTAAAATCAAATTTACAATGCTTTAGTAAATTTTTATTTTTGTATACATAATATATCTATATAGTTATTTACATTGTAGCTAACAATGTAATAGCCATCAGTACTTGCAAAGTCTCCTTTTCTGTTAGCTCAAAAATTGAGTTCTAAAATACCATTATTCACATAACTACTATATCAAAGAACAAACTAATGGATTAGTAAGCGACGAGGTTGATATTTGACCGGGGCCAGGGCCGGGTTTATTAAAACATAGCCGGGGCCGGGTTTGTGACCGGGGCTGCATTAATATTGATATTCCTTATAAATATATTATTGTTATTTAAAATTCATGATATATTTTATATAAAGGTATATATATCATCTCATTGTCATCATCATCGTCATTATCATCATCATCATCATCATCATCAAGCATACAGTTGATGATGATGATTAAGATGATTCTGATGATGATGATGACAATGATCATCATCATCATCTTAATCATTGGAATCATTATCATCTTCTCTGATACACACTATAAATATAATTACTACTCTCATACTATCTCTAAGATCATTGCTTTTTTTCCTATCTTTTAAAGACACCATATATCCATCTGATCTACTTTGTTCTTTCTGGATGAAAGAACAAACAAGCCAGCAACCTGGATATTCTAGAAAAGTCAGTGGCCATCATGTAATAAATTGATTATTTGAAATTTTTAAACAAAGTTAATAATTTGAAGAAATATTTAAAAATTGCTAACAATCAGGGTGTTTAAAATATCCTAAAATAAATTTCATAAGATAAATTTATTGTAAAATTGCATTTACATTTAAAATGTAAGTAACTTTTTAATTGTAATTTTAATCATTAGAATTACATAGTTGAGCTATTCAAGTATTTAAATGTAAAGAATAATAAGAAAAAAGTTATTTAAATGTAAAGAATAATAAGAAAAAGCGAATAGATATTTCAGAAGATCCATTATTATATTGGAGTCTCATGAAAAGCGAGTTGCCAAGGCTAGCAAACTTGGCAAAAGTATATTTATGTTCACCCTCAAGCTCAACAGCTAGTGAGAGGGAGTTCAAGGTTTCAAAGTTAATACAAAAAGATCGCATCAGACTTCAACACAGAATGTTGAAACACTTCTTTTTTTAAAATACAATTTAAGGGCTCTTTCTTATTCAACATATTTATGTGATGCCCCTGAAGACTTTACACCACCTAGTTCAAAATACTATGATGTCTGGGACACAGAATCAGAGGAAGAAACTTAAATTATTATAAAGTGTCTTATTTCTTATTTGTCATTGTAAATATTTATGAGTTATATTATATATTATTTTTGTGACTTTTTCTTATATTTCCTTAAACTTTAACAAAAAATTTTAACTTGACAAAATTTAAAAAAAAGCAACAAAAACAACAACAAAAATCCAGCCCCGGCTAGTAACCCGGGCCGGGTTTGCAAAAACCTCTGTTTTTAGCCGAGGCCGGGGACCCGGTCACTTAATATAATGGATTGATCAAGTAGTACTTAATTTTAGCTTGAGGTGCTTGTTAGTACATATATGATTTTGATATATAAATTTTAATTATAATGTTTATTGATTAGTTTTTAACTTTAAGAATTTTAGAAATTACAATTTTATTTTTACATGTTTATTTATATTGTAGTGAAACTGTCGGTATCTCCACAACTTTTCAATTAAATAGAAAGTTTCAATCAAACAGGATACTGAGTGTGCCTACTGCTCCTCAAGACAATGGATAATGGGAGTTATCAAACTTGCGATAACTACAAGTTTTTTTAATAAGGTTTTTATTATATAAATGTTACATATTATACAGAGTTTTAAAGAAATGTTCTTTATGAATTCTTACTATAGTTACTCAATGTACACTGTACTAATGTACAATCTTCTATAATCTATAAAACTATGGATTTATAAATGTTAAATGAATGATTTATATGAATAGAATGAAGATGTTTATTGAGTTATTTTTATTATTTTTAGTAAAAAGATTGTATGACTTCGGTATCCGCAATATGGTATCGTGCATTGGTTCTTATCTTAGAATGGCTCCCTTCCGTATAGGTGAAAATAAGAAAGGTTATCAGTTCAAGCAAAGATGACAATGATCATTATGGAGCCGATCATGGTGACGAATACGATAATGCATATAATGATAAATAAAATAATTTTACTTGTATTTTAGACTTATATAAATAAAAAATTATCTGTTTAATGTTTAATTTGTTTTTGAGTATTTAGATAATGCGTTCAGCGTTTAACTTTTCTTTACGGTACTTATTTAAAGCAGCTTAAATAAAAGAAAAGTTTGATTCGTTTATCAGTAATTTTTATTTATTTATGCTTCTTTAAATAAGCGCCGTAAAATAAAGTTAAACGTCGCGAAATTTAACGAAAGATTTAGATGAAGTTTAAATAGCGTTTAAAACGAACCATTTAGATATGGTTTAAATGGAACATTCGATTGACCTACGTTCTAAATCGAAACTAAATTAAATCTAAACATTTAGAACAAACATTAACTAAACGTTGATTAAATGTTCGAATGCCCGTTGGGTTAGCTCAAACGTCAAAAAAAGTTGTCTACGGCCTTGCTATGGCCGCTCAGTTTATTTAATGTACATGTTTGTTAAATTTTTTATTCTTAATATATTATAATAAAATATTTATTCAACTACTTTATTTTAAACTTATGAGCAAAAGGGCTTTATAAAAAGATTGGGGTGATCTTTTTACATAGACATTTCTTTGTTTAAAATTGTTTCATTTGTTTAAATTTGTTTTTCATTTTTTTAAAATTCATTTGTTTAAAATTGTTTGAAAAATATATATTAAAAACATATTTAAAAAAATAATAATAGGCAGCACCAAATTTTTTTTCAAAATCAATAATTTAAATGTGACGATATAATTATAAAATAACTTGAGACTCCATTCGGACTTTTCCTAATATCACTCTTTTCAAGTTTTAATTTCAAACGAAATAAAGTTTCTTTCGGGTCTAGTTTAAACTATCATTTAGTAATGCAAACAGCATGAAAAAACAGATTTACATGAGTATTTGATAAAAGTCAAAAAATATTCTTCAAAAAGTATTCAAAATCATTGAAACCCCCCTTTCCCCTAAAATATTTCTGGATTCGCTCCTGCTAAATATTATGCTTCAACTGCATTGTCAGAAATCGAAAGATCATGAATTTGCACCTGAAGCAATAACGCTAAATGGATTTATAGTTATTATTTATATATAACATATGGTAATAGTATTGTGGCATGAAGGGGGGCGCCAAGGATGATGAGACGCACCGGGAAATTTTTTGGTGGGCCAGTCCGCGCCTGAAGACCACCATGACCAACTTTGTCAAAGGCTTCAAAAATGTTGAGAGCGATAGCCTTAACATTGTTAAAGCAATAGGCTCTCTACATATAATAACTGATAGGTTTTATCGTGAATTAGATAGATGCACATCTATCTAATTCACGATAACACCTATCAGTTATTACCGTTTTATAGTAGTAGTTTTATAGTAGTTTTATAGTATTACCGTCATTACCAGTTATTACCGTTAACAAATCAACAGTAGATCAAGAAGACCAAAATTCATATTGATGATTAGAAAGTAAATTTTTAGATTCAAGATGAGAGATTAAGTGCTTTTTAATTAAAGACTCAAAAACCTTGCATATGATAGGAAAAAACTAATGGGCAGTAGATAGACGAGTCAGATCGCTCCCCGAAATTTTTGAAAATAAGGATAACGAATGCCGTTTTCCAGTAGGCTGGAAAACAAATCTCTGATAACCACTTGTTAAATAGTTTTGAAAGTATAGACGACAGCTCCAGAGAATTCTTCTGCAATACTATAAAAGGTATGTTGTCCGAACCACAAGATGTAGAAGAGTCTAAACAGGAAATTACTTTAGATACAGAAGTTGGAGTGATACTAATATGCAATGGAGTGATACTAATATGCAATGGATTAACCTGTTTGTTGGCTATATCAGGTAGGATGTGATTGTTTGAAATCAAAAGATGAGATCGATGAAAAGTTCTTAGCAAACAGCTCAGCTTTGTCTTTAGGTGAGGTAACAAAATTTGAACCAAGCAAGAGAAGTGGAATAACAAATTTTCCTTAATTATAGACACTGTTAAAGATTCTCCAGAAGTCATTGGAGCTTAATTTTTGAGATGAAATCGGAGATTTTGTGACCTGAGAATGGTGGACATCGGCGTTAGACAAAATGTCTTTTTGCGATATTTTTTAGCAATAGTAAACAGACTTTTGTTTTCAGGAGAATTGTTTTGGTAATGGGTATGGAAGTAATGGTTACAATTGGATATTGCAGCAGCACAAAGAGAGGAAAACCACGAAGAAGAGTGAGACTTGACTTAGAATTGTGGAAAGGGAATAAAAGATTCAATGCCAGCCTGAATCCAAGGAGTTACATAAGAAGCACATTTATCAGCAGGAAGACGAAAGTTTTCTATCCAAAGGAATTCACAAAAAAGTTATAAAAAGAGTCCCAGTCAGCTTTAAATAGTTGTAAGAGGTACGATTATAAGTGGTACAATGATTTCAATCTTTTTTATTTTTTTCAATAGTTGCCGTTTTTCAGGATCTATAGAGTTATTTTAAAGATCTATAGAGTTATTGAAAAGAAGACTTTTGGATTGAATTGGCAAAACTTTCACAGGGAAAGTTGGCTATAGCGTTTTCTATGAAAAAATATATATACTATTGAAAAATTTTTTTTTTTACAAAAATTAAAAAAAAAATGTTAGGTTTTTTTTAACATATAAAAAGTAGGCTACTGTTTTGGCTTGTTATAGGAACTAATATTTTGTACCAGCTAAAAGTAATATTAAATTTTTGGCTTAAAATTCTTCCCAAAATAAATAGTAAAAAAATTCCAATTAATTTTGAACCTAATAGTACATTAATGTTTATTTTTATGTTAACCCGGGGTGGGGTAAGTTGGCGAACTTGTTTTTTTTTTTTTTTGAGGCCCTAGAAGAGTTCAACGAAAATTTTTTTTTAATGAATTTAGTTAAGAAATGTTACCTAAATTCATACTCTTTAAGACTGCGCTTTAATATTTACAAAAAAATGTTCCGTTAGGGTTACAGAGTTCAAATAGTAAAAACAGAGGCAACAAGCCCCAGTCTTCCTTAATCATAAATATGAAACAATACACTTAATAAGTAACTACTACATTCTACTAACATCACTAAAAAAATCTGACTTCTGGATTACATGTCGGGGACCACACTTGTGAAACTCGGTTCTTGACAAAAAAAATAAAAAAAATAAAATTATTGATATATATAAAAAAACTATAAAAAATCACAAACTAAATTTAAACAATACATAAGGTCGTTTCCACACCTACCGTAAGTCGACACACGCGGTAGGTGTGAAAGATTTTTTTTTTTTTTAAATCTTCTTAAAGATTTTAACTAAATTCATGTTAATATAATAAATATTATTTTACTTAGATTCTTTTACAATAGCAAAACAAAAAAAGCAAAAGCTTCTAGTTCAAAACGAAGACTTCAATATACAAATAGTCAATTACGTGATGCTATTAATGCAGTTGAAAAAGATATGGTTATGTACAAAGCAAGCAAAACGTTTGGAATTCCTTATTAGACGCTTTGTGATAAAATATCTGGAAGAACTTCTATGAAGATACAACGCTGCGGGTGTGAATCGGTACTAGGTGAACGCATTGAAAAAAAGTTAGTCGAGTGGTTACTAACATGCACTAGAATAAGATTAGAATAAGATAAGTCTGTAGTACAGCTATTAGATACTGTGCAAATATTTTTGAATTCCAACTATATAAAAACGCAATTTACTAACAACAAACGTTTTTCATACATTTTTGATAAAAGAAAAAATTCCTTTACCAGTTATTTTTTGTTTGATGGTCATGCTTCACATTGTTCTATCAAACTTAGTGAGTTTTTCTCGAAAAATGGAATAATTCTTGTTGCTTTGTTTCCAAATGTAACGCATATTTTGCAGCCGCTCGATATAGCAGTTTTTGGTCCAATGAAAGCAAAGAGGAAATCTTCTAGCCGATAATGGTGCATTGACCATGAGGGACAAGAAACAAATAATGAAAATGTTTCAAAAGCATTAAATTCAATCATTAAAAGCATTAAAAATCCTTCTATGGTATCATTAAAAATCCTTCTATGGTATATGATATTGAAAGTGGTTTTAAAAATACCGGAACTTTTCCATTTGATGCTGACTACACAAAAATTGTTCAAAAATAACTGTTGCTATAACTCCTTATTTAGAAGAGAGCCATTCAAGTGTGACTTTATCAGCTTCTTCTCACACTGCCTTTATTGAAAAGTGCATTCATCCAAGTATTTTAGAGTATTTTAATTTTTACACCTAAAACGTTTAATCAAATGTTACTAACGCCTTAATCTTTCATTTGAAACCGCGAGCGCATTATAAACCAGATATTAAAACAGGTTTTAAGATATACGATAAGTGTGAAACACATACGATAAAAATGGAAAACTGGGTTTTAAAAGTTTGATCAAAATTAGTACACTATTTCAGAATTTCAATTTTTGATTTCAATTTCAGAGTAAGAATAATTTTAAACAAACATTGACGGCTGCAAATATTCATTTCCAATGCAATTTTACTTTTTGAGTAATCTAACATATTATAATTTTTACCGTGAGTTTAACTTTTGTTAAACTCACGGTAGGTATGGAAATGTTTTTTTTGCAAACTTTATATTTTTTTTTCTAACTTTTTTGTATAATATTAGAACTTTTAAAAAATTATTTACTTTTTTTGATTTCACTAAGGGGCTTGATGATAAGACTTTTTGTATTCGACTTGTACCAGTCAGACTTACATATTTATTAGATTTTAAGGATAACATTGTGAATTTTGTGCAAATTGACAAAATAAATAAAACTAACTAAAATGAAGGATAATGAGATAATAGTTTAAGAGAAATCAAACCATGATTTTTAGCACCTAAGATAAGTGTGGTAAAAATGAGCACTGAATAGGATCTGAAACAACACATAAATCGAGTAATAAAGGTAAATGATTCGGATTGTCTGGAAAACGAGTTGGAAAGTTGAATATTTGTGTTAAAGATTGAGAAATGCAAAAATTATGGACCTTAACACCTGCAAAGTCACTGACACTTGAACCAAGTCATTCAGTGGGATGAGCATTATAGTCACCAACAACAACAATATTGTCCGAAGGATAAACAGAAAGGGCTTGATCAATTTTGTCAGAAATAACATCAAAAAGAGTACAGTCTTGACCTGAAAAAAAGCGATATAGAACAAAGAGAAAAGCGATGAAATAAAATGATGCTTAACGAATACATGTAAAAGAATGGTCTGTAGATTCAAATCTAGTCTCCGGACAAATGGCTAAATTCTTGCGAATGTAAATATTTAGGTCAAGCAAATGATATTTCTTTAGTTTTTACAAATTAAAGGAAAGAGTCTTTACAAATTAAAAAAAGAAAAGCATCAGTACTAAGATCACAGGAAAAGACAGCTGAACTCAAATTAATCTTACAAAGAGCAGGTAGATAAATCTCAACAGAAGAAAATTTTTTTTGAAAACCACGAATATTAGTGAATGATAGATTTGGAGAACTTGGTGATAACGATGGTTTTTTGTATTTTATAGTTTTTGATAGTTTAGTTATTTTTTAAATTGGTTAAAGAACTTGACTCAAAGCACAGATAGTAATTCAGAACCCTGTCTAATAGTCCAAGCAATTGCCTCATTACAATAGATAAATTTTAAGCCGTAACAAAGGACTCCAAATGTAGCCTCGACAATGCACACCAAATGTACGAACAGGTACACCATTCATGTGCAACATGGCATTGTTATCACTCTGATACATTAGAGCTGTTAATGGAATCAGCCTCTCTAAGTGCTACAACAGAGTTCGGAAAACTTGACTAACAGCCGGCCTTAGAAGCATAACAGAAGAAGTTACCTAATCATAAAAATAGTGTGACAAGCAAAAACTATACATTGAATCAAAAAGATTCAACATTCAACAATTTAAACTGAAAACAATGTGTTAAAATACCTCTACGTCATCCTATAATTAGTCATAATAAGTATAAACAAACGTCATCAACAATGATTACGTTTATACAAATACGTCAGTTAGTTAAACTAATTGATAATATAAATTGCACATTTTAACATCAAGCGCATGTATATGTCCATTTTCAATATTTTATCTTTCTAACTCGGCTTTTTCTGGCTTTCACTCTAAATTACTTCGTTCTTCATAAACTTACTCTTGGTTGCTTTTTAGTGAGCTGAACATGTCTTCGTGGGCCAAGGTGTATGGCCTCTATATGGCAACTAGCCGGAGGAGGATAAACCACAATACCCATCTAAGCCACCCTAATAGATAAAGAAGAGGTGCAAAGCTGTAAAGCAATAAAATTTGTTTAGCCCTTAATTAGTATTAAATCTAATATAAAATAACATAATATTCTCAACAAAGGAAGTACAAGGCCCTTTCGTCTATCCATTATTATCTTGTTCTATATCACTAAAATATGATTTTTTAAAAAGCGTGATAAAAACTTCCGACCAAAACATATCAATCAACTTTTCAACAAATGTTGTTTGAAAAAAATTATTAAGGTTAATATATAGTACACTTATAAACCATTTAAAGAAAAATATTGTGTATTTTGTGCCTAAAATAATAATTTTTTACTTTTGAGATTTTGGAACTAATTCCTGACAAATTTTACAAAACGCTAAAATTGAATAATGCTTTATGTTAATTTTGTTGTTGTTTTTATTATAAATTTTGTCAAAAACCACTTGAACTTTTAAATATCAATATTTGAGTACGCGTTATGAATTTGTTAAACGTTTTATATAAATAATATATGTACTCCGTATATCAGATGTTATTTGGTAGTGTTCAAAAAAAAAACATGACCAGCAAGGGCATAATTTTTTCAACACCTTTATTTGTTTTGTTTAAAACGAGCATATTTAGAAAAGGCTACATAGTATTTATATCGGACCGCATTTAGAGTATTCTATGCCTGCTCGAAGACTACACCGCATAGGAGATATCACTAAAATTGAACAAATTCAACGGAGATAGACGCAACTCGTACTATATATAAAAACTAACAAACGCTGGAAAAAAGAAATCGCAAAGATTTGATACAAATTAAAAAACAATTTAGTGATAGTTGAGTGGAACTCAATTATCTCTAAGTTGTAAAGCCTCTGAGCGCAAAAATTTTTGAGCTTTTTTGTTTTCAGCCTCCAATCATCGCAATTTTTTGCAAAGCCTCATTATTAAACGTAAATAAAAAAAATGTAAATGTTTGAAGTTTGCTCCGTGTCTGGAAGTTACCTATCTCGAACAACAAAAAATTCTGTCAACGCCTTTGTTCACGATTATCTCACTTTTGCATTATTTTATTTTTAAATTATTTCGGTGGAAGATTGTTAACAAAAATTTATTTTATTGCTGAAGTTTTGTAGGTTATCATTAATAAGTGATGTTAACACTTTATTTTATCAGTTATGTAACTTAATAGTTATGTTAATACATTTGAAAACAACATGGTAACGGGGCTCGGTGATAAGTCTGTCTTCTTGCTGCGGCCAGGGTTTTCTATTATCGTAATTTTTAACAAAAGACAAAATAAAAAAAAAATAAAAAACTCACTCCTAAAAAGGAATATTAGAAGGGAATTTGTAAAAGAGATCGTTCAGATATACGTCATTATTTTTACAGAAGTAGAATTAACTACCTAATGAGATTAAAACAGCAAAACCGTTGAAATTACGATGATACTACTAATGTTGTTACTAAATTGAAAACTTCTGTTTTCAAGTCTTAAATAATTTTTGTGCAAAAACCTTTTTCATAAAAACAAAATACTTAAAATACGAAATACATAAAGTATGTAAATACGTTACAAAATACCGATAAAAAGAATATTTGAAAATATCAATTTTAATATGTATTATCCGCATATATTAATATACTATAATAAATAAAATCTTCCACTTAAAAAAATTTGCTATGTTAAATAAAAAGCAATAGCTTTGTTATATTTCCAATATATAAGATCATAAAACATGAGCCATAAAACATAACATAAGTAAAAGGTTTCTATTCTTAAATACTTACAGCAAAGAAAAACCAGAATTATTATATTAAAAAAAATAAATAACACAATTTTTAAAATAAAAAAAAATAACTTATTTAGGCTAAAATGATTAAAATGAAAATCTAAGAAATTCGGTTAAACTTAGACAAAAAATTAAAATAATTTTTATTATAATACTAAAAAATATATTAATTTTTTTTATCATTATAGTCATAAATATTTATAAATATATAAGTATTATGAATATTAAAAAATCATAAGTAATCTAAAAAATATAAAATTCTAATTGTACTAATAGAGAGAATTTTATTTTAAAATAAATTTTAACATTTTTTATCTACGAATTGAATTACGACACACAAATTCTAATCGAACTTTGTCAGCTGACGGTAACAACTTTTTATTCATATAGTCTAAATGGTCATATTTGTTTAATTGAGCAAGAGCTTTGTAAGCTTCTGTCATATTTTCAACACCTTTAATGTGATAAGCAAGACTACTATGAATAAATCTTTTAAAACAAGTATGCAAACAATCAATTTTTCCTTTTTCAAAATGCTCCATTTTTTTATTAAGTTCATCCATTTGTTGGGTAATTACAAGGCTTTCTGAGGTATTTTCTTTTCTTTTTGTTTTTTCTCCAGTATATTTTTTTAAATAATGTCGAGTTGTATCACAGTCATCAATATTTTCAGAAAGATGTAAAATAACCTTGTTTTGTATCACTTCAGTGTGATCTTTAAGTGCTCTAACTGTGTCATGTAAGTGTTTACATACACCTTTTAAACATCTACTGAACATTGGACTTTCAAAAGCAGCAAGATCATTAAGTGTATTACAAAGATCAATATAGCGACTTTCTAGACGATGCATGTCTACTGATATGTTAGTAAAATCTCTAATAAGATTTGCTATAGATTTTTCAGCATTAGCAATTTGGTTATGTGATAGTTTGATTTCAAAGTCATTATTATTTCCTCGAAACAAATCAGGCGTCGAAAATGATTTACGCATTGTGAGTACTTTCTAAATAAAATATATTGCAATGTTTAATTCAATAATTTAAATACTCTGTTAAAAACTAAGCAGTTTTTATATTTAAAAAAATAAATTATTGTTATTACATAAAAAAAAAAAGAAATATGTAACGCTCAATTATTAAGAAAAATTTGAGTAGGAAAGCCAGTAGGCAGGAGATAATGGTGGAGTCATAAACTCTGTGTTTATAGGCTTTCTTCTTTAGGGAAACAATTAAAGTCAGACTTCCAGATTCCTTTGACAACTTGAAAAAACAATGTTTCCTTTTGATTGGGAAAATTTTGCCTATATATCCAGCCAAAGATATAATAATAAAACATATCGTCATCCCAAAATACAAATGCCATATTTAACATTTTTGAATAGAGATATTTAAGTGAATCAGATAGTTCATTTCAGTTAGTTCATTATTTCATTTGATGCATGTGAATCTTTTTTAAAAGACGCTCAAGATTTGTTGTTGAATTACATTAGATAAATTACTTATATATTTTTTGATGCTGATTTCTTTGTAGCGTTGTTAAATAAACAAAGAATTACTTTGTTTATTTTTTAATGTTGAATTCTTTATTTTGACGCTTAGTAAAAAAAAAGTAATTGCATAGTTTCTTTATTTTTCAATATTTTATTACTTTTTATTTACAATTATTATTTGTAATCAGAAGAAGTACAAAGTGCATTTACACATTTTTAAAACTTTAAATTAAAAAAAAGGTGACAAATACAGATTTTTTGCATTTAACAGTTGCTGATGCCAATAATCCAATACCAATGGTATTGGAGGCTCAGGCTTGTTAAGAAGCATTAAGTTATTAGAATTTTTACAAACGGTGATACTCGTTGAGCCATTTACATTACGCCGAAACTTTCCTCAATTAAAGTCTTAAAAAAGTTTATGCAGAAAACATTAGGCAGTAACTAATTATTGTAAATAAAATATAGCAAAAACATTTGCTCAAAAATATAATCTTTTTTGTATTAAAAGGTAGAAAGTAAACTTTTTAATTTAAATTTAATAGTTCAGTAAACTTAAGATTGACAGGTCTGCGCAAGGTTTATTTAGAAACATACCTGTCAACAACCGCTGTCGACTCATTTGTATTTACATTGTTTAAAGTGTAATTGTATACACAAGACATTATGGGATGTCCTGGTAATATAGAAATAAGTTCACAACGACAAACTTGGCTAAAACTCTGCAAAGTTTTCTGTTTTATATTGCGTTATACTTTAATAAATAATACTCTTCATTGTTCAAAAATGCGCAATTATTGTGCTGCAATTAACTCCACAAATACGAGTGAAATTGCTAATGAAAATTATCAAGTTATTTCAATGATTAACTCACTGCTCATATATTAAAGATATTTATTGTTATTATTTCTACAGTTGCAAGAGGAGATCTTGATGGAAAGCTTATTAAAATTCTAAACAATGATTATTATTTGTGCATCAATCATTTTGAAAGTTCAATTTTTATTTAATAAATACTGGCAAAAAAAAAATGCCTTCTCCATAATGCCATTTCTACAGTATTTAATTTCTAAATATAATCTCATGGCATCACATTCAGACGCTGAGTTAAACAAATACATTTATACTTGTTTTGTACCAAAATTCTTGGAGCATTTTTTGAATTGAATATTACTGTCAACTGTTATACTGGCTTCTTATTGACCAAACAATTTGTTCATAAAAATAATACTCTTTTTAATCTAATAAATTCAAAAAAGTTTCATGCTGATAAACCTGCTCAATGTGATGTAACAACAATGGAAAATAACTTACTTGTTACTGTTGAAGTAATTTCAAATTTGGATTAAGTAATGAATGTTTTGTGATATAAAATTCTCATTAGAGATTAAATGTTACAATAACTATTATACTGAAATTGCGTCAAGGGCTTCTCTCGGAAAAGTAAAGCTGTATTTTCACATCTCACTTTAAGTAGGGGAGGGGGGGTGGATTAAAAATTCTATATTTCTTGTTTAACCAGTTGTTCTTAATTATTTTTTTAGAAAATTTTAAAAAACAATTCAGTTTTTGCTAATTTTTTATGGTTGACCTTCTACTTCTATTTTAAAAGATGAAAAATAATTATTTTTCTTTGCAAAAAAATTATTTTTCTTTTGCAAAAGTTTCTTTGCGTATAAAGTTATGCAACTTTTCTTTCAAATTTATCTAATCAAATTTTGATTGGATAAATTTGATTTTAAATTGTTGCGTTTAAAAAAAAAAAGTTTTATCTGAAGTCCTTTTCTAAACAAAACGTTTTAATTAAGTAAAACGACAGATTGCTTCAAAAAAAAGTTTTATCTTATGTCTCTTTCTAAACAAAACGTTTTAAGTATCAAAAAGACAGATTGCTTCAAAATATATATTAATTTCCGTTTTTTTCTTTTTTTTTTTTTTTAATCTTTATTCAAACTATCAAGAAGGCTATTCAAGATTTATTTATTTTTTCACTTTTCTTTAATGAAGTCAAAAATAAATCTTCTTTTAAAGTACCAGTGAGTAGAAGTTCAGTTAAATTCTTAAGGTTTAACAACTCTAAAGATAAACAGGCTAAAGGAATACCGCTACCTAAAAGGCTTTATAAAAACAAACAGGGCGATCAAATTTTGAAATTTTCTGCTTTACTCTAAAACGCAGTGAATAGCTAGTTAAAAAAAAATTCTAGAAGCAGTTAATAAGTCTACCTCAAAGAAGTTGAATGATTGTATCATTCTTGCTAGAGTATTTTGGTAAAAGTTAGCCTCAGGACTTTAAAAAAGAGAAAAGTATTATGTGTTTGGTTGATGATGGATTATGATTAGTATTAACTTTCTAATTAAATTGTTGCAGTTGAAAAGCTTTGGAAAAAACCTTTCCAACTGCAACAATTTAATTAGAAAGTTAATACTAATCATAATCCAATAATTAAGTATACATCTACTGTTGAAAAAAAATTTAATTTCAACAATACTTAATTATTTAAACCAAATAAAAAATGAGGGTTCGCATAGTTTGAAAATATTTTGGAAAATTATTGTCCAATTATTTGTCCAAAAAATTGAAACTATGGAATATAGCTGAAACCAGCTACAAAAACAAATGGATAACAATAGAAGAGCAGCAATCTTTACATCAGGTGTGCAAGATGAGTTCTATTTTACATCAGGTGTGCAAGATGAGTTCTATTTTACATCAGGTGTGCAAGATGAGTTCTATTTTACATCAGGTGTGCAAGATGAGTTCTATTTTACATCAGGTGTGCAAGATGAGTTCTATTTTACATCAGGTGTGCAAGATGAGTTCTATTTTACATCAGGTGTGTAAGATGAGTTCTATTTTACATCAGGTGTGCAAGATGAGTTCTATTTTACATCAGGTGTGCAATATGAGTTCTATTTTACATCAGGTGTGTAAGATGAGTTCTATTTTACATCAGGTGTGCAAGATGAGTTCTATTTTACATCAGGTGTGCAAGATGAGTTCTATTTTACATCAGGTGTGCAAGATGAGTTCTATTTTAGTTTGATTAAAGTTACAAGGCAGCCCATTTAGCTGTGAACTAGACATTATTGAAGTAGATAAAGAAATGTTAAAATGAAAAAAAGTTTGAAAAATGAGGTTCTTTATTTTATGAATCGAGTAGGTCATTGTTGCAGATGTCTATTCTGTTTAAATAAATGATTGTTGATATAAAAATACAAACCTCCCTCTTATGATATAAAAATACAAACCTCCCTCTATTACCAAAGAAAAAGCTCATAACCTAGATGTTCTACATGGAAAGTTTTCGCAGCAATCCTCTATCACATATGATGACTTTTATAGTTATTTTCCATTTTCAATAGTAATTAACAAACAGTGTTACTATTTTCATATATAATGCTTAATTTTACTTTAAATTACTTATAAATCATAATGTATATTATTAATAAATTAAATTGTAAAAGATTTCTACTTTTCTACTTTTCTTATATTTAATGATAATAATAATTTCGTCTATTTTTAACAATGCCTTATTTTTGTCAATATATTCACTTTTATTAAAATCAAAGTAGAAGGCTTAATAATTAAAATGAAAAAAAAAATGATTATGATTTTGAGAATCAGCATGAAAAACTAATTAAGAAAAATTGGTTAAACTATAAAAAATCTAAAAAAAAGATGATTATGAAACCCCCTACTTTAAGCAAGATTATTTAGAAAGTACAGAGCAAAGTCTATTCAAAGCAAAGAAGGTTGAAATGACTTTGGATTGCTTACCTGAATGTTTTGTTGTTATTGTCATTAGAAACTAACAGTTCTAAAAACAATTGTCTTATAGAAACAGTTTTTAGCGTTGTACTGCATATAAATGCTTTATTTAAACATTTACACTAAAAAAACCAACCAAAAAGATTAATTGTTTATTTTTTGCTGACAAAAAAAAAAATCATTTCAACAAGTTTACTGTTACAATTCTTATAAAGAAAACAATTGTACAAAGCATGCAGATTTTGCTAGCTTGTTAAAGATGTTTGACTATGTCAACAGTGTGTGGTAATACTTTGTTGTGGAGCGATGGATATAAGGCATGGTTTAGAGACCAATAAGAAAACAAACCGCCAAAATTATTTACCAAAATCTTTATTCGTATCATTGATTTGTCATATTCTATTTAACATTATTTATAGTTTATTGAAAAGTGGCTTCATACTAAAAACTTAGCTTTTAGATTATTATTAAAAATCATGGAATTCTGTACTTTTGTCTTTTCATTTAAAAGTTGCTTTTAACATGCTTTTTACTTACAATAAAAAAAGTTTGCACATTTATCATAACAAGAATTTTTTCTTTTATTAGACTGTACATGATCTATGTCATGAAAATAAAAAATGTTTATCATTATTGATTATTATATTAAATAATGTTTTTATTTTAACAATCAGTATTAATTTTATGAGTTAATTGGAATATATATATGTATACACACATACAACCTCATGGCATCACATTCA